CTACTACTACTACTACTACTACTACTACTACTACTACTACTACTACTACTACTGCTATGAAGAAGAAGAAGGAGAAAAAGAAGATGAAGAACATGTTTTTGTCTTGTGGTAATAATGTGTTTTTCAATTTGCTTTCGTTTTTCCCCCAGGACCACGACTTTATCGAGCTGGAGATTAAACACGGCATTGTGCAGGTAAGGACAGAATTGGAAATATCCTGAATGGACTTCTCATGTAACCTCTTTATTTTTTTGGTCACTTTAGAATAACCGAGAATATTGTTCACATCTTGACTTAAGTCCCCGACCTGCAGATACACCAACTTTTCCATCAGCGATAAAAATGTCCCGATCTGTCGTTTTTGATTTGAATCGAGAGCGTCAACTGACTAAAGTACCGGTAGTTTTTACGCAGGTTCCGTGATATAATATTACATGTGGCATCGTGGTGAAATCAGGCGCTTGTCAAAATAATGAAATCGTCTGTTGGGCATTATTATTCTTAATTTACTAAAGTTTCACATTTATTACGTCTGTTTAGAAATACATTTTAGTGTGGTTTTTACCTTAAACTGTTAATCATAGACACAAATAATGCAAATTTACAGTTTGTGGGGAGACTCAACACTTCAAAGGGACTTTTTTAGAATGTGATATATAATCTGTTTTGAACGTACAAGCGAAATATCATTTTTCCTGAATGAAACATCCCTTTACTCACACCCTGATCGTTTAGAAGCGGAAACATTTTGCATTTTGACAAAGGACACATGCTTATGGTGTAACTGTTAAGCTCTTTGTCTTGCGCTTCGCTGTCGCACGCAACAAACCAGAGTTCGATTCCTGAGTAGAGAAAACATTTTTATTGAATATCTCAGTCTTTCTATTAGGATTCTATTTGGTTTTATCCATCTCAGGCCCTAACAGACAAGGTCGAAAGCTTGCCTCCTAAGCTATCTAAATTGTGTCAAAGGGGGTGTAAAAATAACAACACCTACATCACGTCTGAAACCGAGTCGACGAGGGTTTTCTTTTCCTTTTTTTTCCCTTTTTTTCTCTTTTTTAAATCCTTTTTCCCCCTCTGCGCTATCCGGCCTACTCTGACGTCTACTCAATTCAGCCCCCGAAATCTGAAATCGATTCCACGTGACCTTGACTCGTAAATGACCAGGAGAAAGTCAGGACGTGACCTAATTATGTAACTCCTTTTCGACCAGACTCTCATTTCCCTCTACTTCGCCAACCCCATAGATTAGGGCGCTAAATCTGTCCACAATGACCACCTACACGAGGTGATGTGTTCAATGGCAACTGGCAGAAAGCACAAATCATGACCTTTCTTTGACATCATCTGGGTCAGAACTCTGCTCCTGTAATTACTAACATACTTGGATATTTTATTCCATAAGAGCTTCCAAATGTAGTCTTTTCCGTGCTTTTTGGACTATTTGCTCTCTGAGCATGGTCCATTCTTTATGTTTCATTTATGCATCTTTTCCTGTGTGTGTAGGTGTATGTGTGTCTGACTTTCTGTTTGTATGTATGAGTGCGTGTGTGTGTGTGTGTGTGCATGTGTGTGTGTGCATGTGTGTGTGTGTGTGTGTGTGTGTGTGTGTGTGTATGTGTGTGAAACACCAGACCAATGTTCCAGCACGTGAGCACACCATCAGCTGTCTGTGGTTACGTGTTTTTTTTAGCCTGTGTTTAGTACGAGGACGGTTTGACCTTGACACCCTTGCTGCAGTGGTCGTTTTTTCCCTCAAAGACCGATACATTCAACCTTGACATGTACATACGTCTCAAGAAGGAGTCACGGGTGAAACCATTACGTAAGATAGAGATTCTACCTTGTAAAAGAATATGGCCAATTTCCTATAAATCTATTTTTGGTCAGGGCAGAAATAGACGAAAGCCTAACCAACAAACCAAGAAATGTCTGGATAATCGAACTTATTAGACCAAAAATATCCTTGCCCACGGTCAGTTTGTTGATACTGTCATTACTCGCTGGCCGGGACAAGCTGTTTGCTGAAATAACAAGTTCCTTAAATGGGTATGCTGTACGTCTTCCTAAATGCTAACTCTGAGCGGAAATGTCATTGCGAGCTGTTAGTTTGGTCTGCTCGGATTGGGACCATTGACTGACATGACAGAATACTGCCACAGAACAGATACAGAGTGACAAAACGATAAAAGGGCAAAGATACAAAGCGACAAAGACAAAGAGCATCGTAATATAATAATTATCAGCGTTTGTACATTTAAGATAAGGTAAGATAAGACAAGATAATACTTTATTATCCCAGAGGGAAATTTTTCTTGGCTGTACAGGACCGTAAAAACACAATATGCAGGTATACATAAAAAATTAAATTATATATTGCTCTCATTAAAATCCAATGTGAAAAGAGACCCATTTCTGCAAATGGGTTGTTGGTTGGTATGGGCTGTGGTGTGGTTTACAATCTCTTTCCTATAATTAAACATCTATCGGCCTCCTCTCTCCTCCTTCTTTTCTATGTATGTCCTCTCTAGTAACACCATTAATCTTCGCCACTTTTATTACCAATTTGTGGTGCTATTTGTAAAGCTCTCACTTAAACTTGCTGAAGAAAACAAATGTATTCCGTGCTCTTTAACATAATTTAGAACATCTAAAGGATAAGCTGCTTCATCCATGCCAACCAACGCTGTGTGTGTGTGTGTGAGAGAGAGAGAGAGAGAGAGAGAGAGAGAGAGAGAGAGAGAGAGAGAGAGGGGGGGGGGGGGTACTTCCCAGCAGGAATACACTAATGATACTTGGCATTCTATCTTCCTGAGGCGTAAGAATCGAACTAGTTTCTTTTGCGTGCAAAAAGAGGAGCCGAAACATTTTAGAAAAGACTTCATGAAATATGACACATCACAGAACCGACACCAAGAGCTATTGCAAGTTGCCATGATTTAGTATTGTTTCATTGCAAGGATGCTGGTTGTTTTGTTTGGGGGTGGGGGGGGTTGGTGTTGTTGTTTTGTTTGTTTAGATTTTTTTCGGGGACGTTTGTTTTTTGTTGCTGTTGTTGGTTGGGGTTTTTTGTTGTTTTTTTAAGCGATCTACGGCACTCGCAATACAATTTGGTCCTATCAGTGCCGAAGATTAGAGTGGTTACAAGAGAGAGAAACAAACACATAAAAAGAAGGAGGAGCGACGAGGGAGATAAATGCTTGATATGAAAGTAATAGCAAACCACACCAGAGCACCTGCCAACCACCCACAGTGTAAGGATACAAAAAGAGAGGCCGAAACGTAAAAAATGACACAACGCGCACCCGACACCGATATCTATTACTAGTTGTTTCGTTTCGTTGTCGTGTCGTGTCAATGCAAGGGTGCAAAAAGGAGAGCCGAAACGTCACAACAGAGAGCTCATAAAAATGACACAACACGCACTCGGCCCCAATAACTATCACTAGATGTTTCGTTTCGGTGTCGTTTCGTCGCAAAGATTTCCAAGCCTTACTTCTCCAGCTCATAAAATGTGGTCATCGTCCCTACCCCTCCACTCTCCGCGTTACCGACACGCCGATCAATGACGATCACTTCCGCCGGTATTATGTTGAGCCGTCGCTGTCCCAGGCATCCGGCCTTACATCTTGTTCTTAGAGCTCCTCCATCTTCTTCTTTTTCATCCTTCTCTCTCTTGTCAACCCCCCACCCCCTGCATCCCCCT